AAGTACAATTCAACAAAATATTTTTCGGTAAATGCTAAAATAAATACTGATGGGAAAGAGAAGGATGTTTAATTCGAGGGATAAAGTTTTGTATTCAGTGAGCAAATAAAATAATTCTAATTATTCGATTCTGCACCCTGAAAAGCTCTTCAGATCTTGATCGTATACGCTAAGCATGACTGGACCTAATGATATAGTTTCCCAAAAGCAGAAGTCAAAGGTAACCCCGCAAAGGGACATATGATAAAACAAAATAATTCCGTATGTGTTCAAAGATCGACAAAACAAATGTTACTTTCTAGTCCAATTTGTAGTTATGTTTCTTTATTATTTTATTTATTTTGGCGTGAAAAATAATTTAGTAAATTTGAAATCAACCAGGTTGAAAATATTTGTCTGATTTGTTCGAGAGCAAAACAGGGAGGTGAGAACAAAACTAATACTACACCAGAAATCCTTTGCGGTTTACCCCTCGACGAGAGAAAAATTACGTACTTATCAAATCACCCAGTAGAAATATTTAGTTGATTTTGGAATACAGCCCACTGCCATTCATCTTCTTGTGAATATTGAGCACTTTGACTAAATGCTGCAACAATATGCAGAAATGCATTATTTAACAGTTAGCTGGCAAAAAGTATATATAAGACACGATTCTGTAATAGAGAATTATTCTGGATACACATATATGACATGGATAGTCAACTTCCTAGCAATGGGAGGAAAGAAGATGTAGAGTTGATGGTAAAGAAGATGACAATCATACATGTCTATAGAAAATTCGAAACTCAATAATATATGTTGAGCATTATCCCTTTTATCTGTGGATAGTATGCTGATCTGTATTCAATCCATTTCGTAGGTATGCAACGAGTACAAGTTACTAATACTGTCACCCGGAAACTACACACCCAGAGAGAATGGTTTTGCAGGGATATGCTACTATACCCAATTTTTTAAAAGAATTCTATTTACTGGCAAATCATTGGTTCACAGGACAATAAAATTTTTTAAAGTATTTACAATTTAATAGCGAAAAATTTGCAAATATTATTTTTAAATCCGGTATTACTGTTAATTTTGGTATACCAAATGTCATAAATTTGAGTCAAACTGTTGCTGAAATATGTGGACTAATATATGCAATTAGTAACAACACGTTCTGTACATGAACATAAATGAAATTGAAGTATAACGAAACTTTTTTTTAATCCACGAAAACTAAATCAATATTTGGAATAGGAAATACCATCTTCCAAAAACAAAATGGACGTTTGCCATATTTTGATCGAAAAAAATATGAAGGCTGTTTCAGAATAATGTGCTGTGATGTATCCTTAATTTAAAAAAGAATGCAAAGTAACATTAAAATTCTTTTTTTATTATAACTTTTAACAACTTCCTAGACATCATTATGAAACTTGGCACCCGCCTTGTAAGTATGAACCAATTTTTGAATATGGAAGATCTTTTTCGCAAGATTTTTCTTAAAATAAAAATTATTTTTAAACCCCCATTTATTTCCGGTTGCCGATGAAGGAAAAAAAGATTAAATATTTCTATCGCTATGCGCCTATTATGGCTTCTGAATGATAGAGTTGCTATATATGGTTGATTGGTTTTTTAATTTAAAATCTGGAAGAATCGATAGAAGTGCAGATTGCAAAGCCAAAAAAAAATAAGGAAACAAATTCTGACATATTTTCTATATCGGGTATTGGATACAAATATAAAATAGATATCTAATTAAATTTGTATTTAAGGCAAATTGTGAATGCATAACATTGTGAGTCGTCATAAACATTAATAAGTAGGGGTCAAAAATAATATAAAAAACTACATATGACTTTGATAGATTAGTCAGGTATTTTATAGATTTTGCTTTCATGGTGACAAATTAATTGATGTAGTGATAATAAATAAAAATAAAATTTCTTAGCGATAGTTGCACAATTTGGGATGAGTAAGAGTATGAGGAAAGAAAAGTAAATAATATTGACTGCATGCTGTAGTCAATTATCTTAATAAAAAAAGAATTGTCTATATAATATCAAGACCAAAAGCCAATGCAGCTTTCCACTGAGTATGATCCGCAGCATGTTCATAGAACTTTTTTTTTTTGGTTGCTTTGGTTTGTATCAATTTTTTAAATACTCCGAATATATTAAGTGCTAAACAATTCGTAGTTTTAAAGTAAATATTTCCAATAAGATAAATTTTAGTGCTCAAGAACTAGGAATTATTATTTTTTATATTTTATTATATTGTGAAAAAAATAATAAAAATTTGGGATTTATTTACTTTATTTTCTTTCTTTAAATTGACTAAATTCAATGACATCTAACATTTAAATGAAAACACTCTACCAGGATAAATGAAACATTAACACTTAACATGGATTGAAGGAAAAAGCTAACCTCGACAATATAACGCAAAATATTCATCCACAACGCTGAAGAATAACTTAATCTCAAATCCTAATAAGTCCAGATTTTTGTTGTTCGAAAAAGTAGATAATTCGGTATGCATTGCAAAAAGGTGATATATAAATAAAACTTTCTAAATCAGTAAACCACTTTCCATAACATTCAAAATATTATGTCTGACATTTCCATGATATTTTTAACTTATGGGAACCATGTCCATATATTAAAGTTTGGTAACGCCCTAAGTACTTCATTAAATTAATTTTCTAATATGCATACTAAATAGTTCTTACGCTGTAGCGTAACTATACATAAGAAGATCAAAAATGGCGGCTAATGTTATCCTATTCGCCAATTACTCGAAACGAGTAATTAAAATGCAATTGTTGCGGTTTATGCACAGCTTCGTGTTTTAATGACAATCATCATTTTGTCTGCCATGGGACGTTCTTCGGCATAGGTGTGCATTCTTCGAGATAATTAGTTTAATATACATTTAATTGGACGCAAGACTAAAATGTAGTGTGCAACGTGTTGGTATATAACGCGAGGTGTCATAATCATTCTCTATAGATATATAATGCGAGTTATGTACGGCGGAAAGTTTTCCCTTATTATAATGATAATGGCGGGGATAACGGTAACCAATATTGCGCCTTTATAGGGGCATCGCTAAACGGAATCTTATTATTATCTTAAATTATCTAACCAACCTATAACAAAACTATATCTATAGGATCAGGTGTGGTACAGTCCTAGATACCTACAGTCAAATAAAAAAATAGACATTTGTAACGATTTTCCTCACAACAAATCCTCAAATGTTCAACATCGTTTTCAACTAAATACCCAAATGAAATACCTAAATGAAGACATATTATGGAAAAACCGAAATAACATTTTTGACGATTTATTACGCTTATTTTAAAATCTCACATTTCCGGGTTTCTTTGGTTGTACCAGCCCGGAGATCTAATTCCGAAAAGTCATTAACTACTTACTTATGGTTTGGTTTTCACCAAAATAACGTAATAACGGAAAATAACGTAAATAATCCTGGGGATACTGTTTGTGCTGTGTAGCTTATAGCAAGGAACGATAAATTTACAATTTTCGAACCAGCAAAAGTTCAATCTTTACAATTCTTTATCGTGACTTATTCTCAACAACTGATGGTTTACCTACCAGAATAGTTTTACGACCTACATAAAAAAAAGTTAGGTTAAAGGAGCAGATTCTTTCGTTTTCCCCTTTTATAAAATGGAGGAAGAAATAGTATTATACTCACGTAAGATATTTAATATTTAACCAATGATCGATTCAAAAATATATGCATATGCATGATGTGTAGGTATTGTGGAGGAAAAGTGATCTTGATGATCCTCAAAAACACGTTCCGCTGCCTAGATGTAAAGTTACCACTTCCTAATATTTTTTTTTATTGAGAATAACATTCCTATTACTTAAACAATTTTTGAAAGTTTCTACACGTTCGTCAAAATATTTGAAGCTAAGAGTACAGTGAAAGATCCTTTAATTAAAGTAGATCGCGAGATGTTTTGATGATTTATCCAGATTAATATTTTAGAAGTTGAATGATTTGGTGAAAAATTCGTACAGTCGAAAGTATTGCCAAATAAAAGAAAACAACAATGTCAATTTATACCTATTTTCCAGGCAACAAGTCCTAAAATTTTGAACTAAATAGCTACATAAAATAATGATCAACAATTTTTCATGAAATATTAAAAATTTATTTGATGTTTTCATGGTGCATTTTAAATTCCCATAGATTATGTATGTTCTAATTTCAGCAATAGTTTAAGCTGATTGTACTAATATTCTGCATAGATATTCCATCGCAAACATTTGTCCTTTAAGACCATATAATTAGAAAATTATCCATATCTTATCCATATTTTAAGTTAGATAGAGGCGTTTTTTTTTCTTCTTTTTTTACTTAATATGAAGAAAACAGACTTTATTATATCAACGTAACATATTTATATTTACTTAAGGTACGGAACTATTTTTATTGAATTTTCTAATTATCGATTCAAAAATATATGCGTGTAGGTGTTGTGGAGGAAACGGGATCTTGATGATCGTTTTTATTTAACAAATAGCAAACCGACACAGTAGTTTCACTTCAAAATGACTTTCCGCTGCCTGGGTGTAAAGTGATGCAGTTTCCACTCCCTAATTATGTTTTTTTTATTGAAAATAGCACCCGATTAAATTGTGGATCGCACAAGCATTCGCAGTGTTATTATTTAAACATATTTTCCAAATTTCTACATGTTTTCCAAAATATATTTCAATTTTTGAGTCCTGTGAGCTGACATTTTCTTAAATGTCTCGAATGATTTTGTTGCTTAAATCCAGAGGAATATTTAAACATTTTAAAGATTTGGCCTTAATGAAAATTCTTCAACGAAGAGAATTCTATAGAAAATTAAAAAAAAAGCAGAAACGATACTCCGGGCTCGGCGCCGGGCATGCCAAAACGCACCGATAAAACGACTATTCCGGCAATCCGACGGACGCAACAATTATCGCTAAATTTTACGTTACCTGGCTGGATCAGTTGCCACTCGTTCACAAAACAACTCGGATCACTCTGCACAAACGAATTCAAAGCGATTTTCGGCAAGTAACCGTTCCGACATTCGCGAAACATTTTGCTAAACCACAACAAATGCTCTACACCTTCGATTGCTTAGTGCATCCGGCGAAAAATTGGCGGGCCAGAGGAGCGGGCTGGAGAAGAAATCCCCCCGACGAATTTGCCGGCAGTCTAATAATCGGTCGTGACTATTTACGCGCTGCCAAAAGTTTTTATTTAACGTGAGCGTTTTACATGCATTTGGTTCAATCTCGTCCGATCTTTGCCAACTTTTTGGGCCGGACTTATTTCGCAAGGAGAATTCGCTCCGAAAGAATTAATCGTCTGCCCGCCGCGACCAAAAATATACCAGAAAACTACCTCCCTCGGTCGAAAGGTTCCTGCACTTAAAGCACACGTCGTTTAATCTCAACTACGCAGTAATCAAATACGCAATTGGTTTGGTGATGGATTCCGATCATTCGAAACCAACAGACGCCGGCCGGCGAAGCCCGAAATTTTGGCCTTATTCCCCCCAATTCGCTTGTCCGCCCACCCCTGAATTCTCCGTTTTCCTTCGCCCGTTCTTTCCGGATGCACTTTGGCGTCGTGACGCGCGTCGTACCTTTCTGTCATTGATTACGCAATGCGTCGTGATCTTCTCGTTCTGTACAGTTGTGGTCGCGGTTATTCCGCTTACGACGGCGGCTCGACTGACACTGACTGCGCGATGGGCGCTGCACGTGTGTGCAAGCGGCCGGTGCAGCGCGACTGCGGCCCCTCGGCCGCCCCCGCCCCCCGGGGGGTCCGTCGGGTGGGGGGCCACGTTGGATCAACCGTCGGTCGTGCAGGGGACCCAGCGGCCATCGTCTTAGGGCGAAGGGACTTCGATTATAGGCAAGGGAGGCACGGTCGTGCGTATCGCTCGGGTAGCTTTGGGAGGATAGGTTTTAGTTTCGGATAGATTTTCGCCGAGCAGGAACGTGGTCTAGCTTAGCGGTTAGTCGAAGAAAATGGGGTGTGATTAATAAAAATGAACCTTAACCTTAACGGATAGCGTATTGATTTCAAGTTCGTTTATGGGAACATTGTTTTGACCCGCTGGCAAATGTTGCTACGATTTTCATGTTATTTCTCCAACTTCAACTTCTTAATAACAAGTCAACAATTCGAATAATTTCGATTAATGATAACTTCCGTTTATTCATCTTCTGGTCAGGACTATGGGAAGCAAGATTTTGCTTATCACTACTTATATTTTTCAGGACGTATACGCAACAAATTAGTTCTTAGAAAGTATCACCCTTTTTTAAAATTTTGGTAAAAATTTGGAAAATTCACTACTGCCTGCTTGTGTTTTTGGGCGGAACTGAATCTTTTCAAAATGACAATTTTTTAGCTTCTGTGTCGATGTTTTAAAGGGGGTGAGAGCGGGTGGGGTGGGGTGGGGTGTGTTATATAAAAATCAACCTTAACCTTAACTGATAGCGCATTGATTTGAAGTTCGTATATGGGAACGTCTTCTTGATCTTCTGGCAAATGTTGTTACCAGTTTTAAATTATTTGCGCCGCAACTTGTTTTTGATTGATTTCTGATGATTTTGGAAGAACATGTTATAACCATTATGTTATTTTGATATTATCCCTTTATTAATTTTCTGGTCAGGGCTATGTGGATCGATGTTGCTTATCGCTGGTCAATTATTGATCTAATATATTTGGTTTTCAAGTTGGAATTTTAAAAAAGGATAAATTTTTAGCTTCTGTGCCGATATATTTTAGTGAAAAAACCTAAAACAATATCTTAAAAAATCAGATCCTTTATAATTTGTTTGATCAGCGACGAAGATGTCACCATAGAGACAGATGAGATTTTATTGTTTTTATTGACTTCTTCCAACAAACCTAGATATAAAAAAAAAGATAAAAAACTGATACGTGCACGCCAAAAATCTGTAGTAACAATATTAATTAATTATTTCGTTTAATTTTTATAATTAATGTAATTTTAATTAATTACATTGAAGCAATAAAATCTTTTCAGTGTCTATGGCGAGATCTTCAGCTTTGATCAAGCAAATTATTTGAATTTTAAGTTTTTTATAATTTTTTAAAGATTTATATGCTATCAAAAACCTGCACTACTTTTGCAGGAGTGATCAAATCGCAGACATTCAAAAAAAGCTTATCAGTTTGTTGACGGTACGTCAACTTAGAATACCGATGTCATAATAAAAAAGTTTTCAATACGCTTCCCCAAAAAATTTGAATTTTACAATTTTTTTGTATAAGAAACAAGGCAATTTTACAAGTAATCAAGGATGTTAAACATTACTTTTTATTATATAGTCCGATGACTTTTGGTATAATGGATAAGAAATAGTTCCTGCACACTAAATACGTATTACGTCAATAGTTTAAAAATACTATACGCTATACTAGTTTAAATCTTTTTTTTCGGCATCATAATTACTTACTGGCTGCAGAAGCCAAAAACAGCTAATACGTTTTTAATATTTCGTTCCTTATAAGTTAGAACTACTTAATAGTTAAAGATTTTTAAGTTTATCTTCATTTGTAAAAACAAATAAACAAGGTCTGTATAAAAAAAAACGGTACAGTTAAAATGTTCAATACTTTAATAACATATCATGCAACAAGGTTTTGTAAATGTTTGAAGTGACCGTCCGCATTGTCAAATGTCAAAATCTACTCCAATCATCCGATTTCTCCCAAACTCGTGATTAAAGTGCTGACATTTTCAAAATGACTATCAAGGTCTGCTCAAAATAACCGTGCGACTGGTTATTTTAGAGTATTATTATTTTATTATTCTATTTTACGTGACGTTGAACTTTTTATCTTATTAAATGCGTCAAATTAAATAAAATGTCAGTGTTTTTAAAGTTTTGGGTCTCAGTTAAAGTCTGAATTACCTCAGATACAGCACCGTTGTCCAATATTACCTACTGGTACCGTTTATTCGAGCGCAGGTCCAGTACACTTTTAATTAAAGAGTTGGAACTATATATGAAATCATAAGAGTTTTCACAGGCACTTGGATACGACGTAGCAGTAAACAGTCTGGGTCTGCAAAAATAATTTTTGTTACGCACCTCAATGCGAAACAAACTGTGAAAGGTCGGACGCAGTCAGACGGCCAAAAAGTTGCCGAATTTTCAAGTGATGTGCCGACTTTGGCAGAGGTCGAGGTGTGCGACAACTAAAACCAGACACGCATCAGCCGACCGTAACGAGGTACTATTTTGGGCGAATGCGTGTGCGTGTGTTCGGCAAAAAAATATTGGACCGGCTTTGTACACGACAAATTTAAGTGGCCTAATATTTTTTGTCCGGAAGAAATTATAATCCAATGTCTCAATCTATGTCTATTTCATCATAATTTAAAAAATCATTATAAAAAAGTTCATGCTCATGCAACTAAGTTACTGTGAATTACCCAAATTTATGTAAAAATTATTTTATTGCACTGAAATGGCAAGTTAAAAACTATCTAGATCTAAATGTATTTTAAGCACATTTAATCAAAAAATATAAAAAAAAAATTGTTAATCTGTTTAATGTTAATGTTAAATGTTAATTTGAAATACATCAGTAATAGAAGCGCTTGTCTACTTGGTCCTCTTTCACCCCGTTTATTTTTGCATTCGATGCGTAAGAAAGCGATCCAAAAAGAGTTACGATTGTCATGTGTTATTTTTTGAAAATTGTTAAATATGTAAATAACAAAACAATTTTTTTATGCTGATGGTCGGATTTGCAAGAGTCATGCTTTGGAGTTTTGTAACTTGTAGTAATAATTTTAAGGTGAAGGCAGAGCAACGTTCATTCGAAAAGCCGAGCCGAAACTTTTTTATAAGCTGTCGTCTTTATCATAAAAGAGGTAAATAAAAAAAACAATACAAAAGGAGTGCGATAACAACTGGGGAATCGAAAAAAAGTATATCGTTTCATGAAAAACTTGCAATTTAATTCATATCGTTTGTTAATTTCTTGCTCACATCGTCAACATCTGATATTGTTGTGAGATTTATTTTCTTGTAGACTTCTTTTGTAATTTTAAACAAGCTGTATGCCTTAAAGTTTTATCCAAATAGTCCTTCAAATTATCCTTACCTTTAAAAAGCTTAGTATCAATACAAAACTTTTAATTGGTATTTTTTGGAGTATCGTATCTTAAATGCATCCATAAACATTTTTTTTGTATCAGCAGTTTTCCTAACAACTCATTCTCAGATTTTGCGTCCAGTATTATTAAAGCACAGAATACTTGTATTTTTTTTATCCCTTAATTGGCCATGTTTCATGTGCGCTAGAAGCATTATTTCATTTTATTTTGTGTTGATAACTTTTTCAATCCTCAAATGAATTGATACTGATTGAAATTTAAACAAAGAAGTTACATGAGTTGATTTTTAATACTTTCAATTCAATGTATTGGTATTAACATTGTCTAGTCTGTCTTTCTCTAACATTGGTGGAGGTTGGCAAGTGCGAAGTGTTGCAAAGGTTTCAGGGCCGGATCGACAAGGTCACATAGAATCGACAATGAAATATGATGCCGTATTAATAACACGTCGGTTTTGTTTTGAGAAATACGTTGACAATCTCATTTATGTACAAAAGGCACGTTTGGTCAAAGTACGCTCTCTTCCTGACCGGAAATACGTGCAAAAATTTTCAACCATAAAAATGTGCGGTATTTTATTAGTAGTAAAAAAATTTATATGATTTCCAGTTTTTTTTAGATCAACTTTATTTCTGGTATTATATGGTATCATATATCATAAAGGTCATTAATACTAAAGCTAAAATATCCAATTACGGCATGCGGTAACCGTTACTTTCAGTCGTCAACTTCATTACACACTGCAGCTAACCACTTCGGGTGTTTCCGTTACTTGAGTCACGGGTTTCTAACCTATCTGATGTTTTCGGTAGACGTTAGCCACGGACGGTATTTTGAAATTCGTCCTAGATCCCTTATAAAAGAAGCTATTTGAACTAAAACTGCTTTATCTTATATATGTATTAGATAATATAGTATCTTTCATATTTTCGTAGAGATGGGAATGACCTTCCTCTACATTTCACCCTCTAATCTGCACGATACATCAGTTTATTTCTAAACAGCGATATCCATACACTTAAGTTATTTTTACTTTAATATTTAATGGGGTCTGGACATATTCTAAGAAAATGATGATTCCAAACTTATTGACCTTCGAAATTTGCTTCATAAGTTCCTGTGTTCTCAGCTTATTCTATTTGCTATATACTTTATCTAAATAGAAGTTATTTTTGGAACATATATTATACATGCAAATGCCTAACGAACCTGTGATTGTCTAATCAACCAACTGGCAAGTATTTTGAACATACACAACATACTATTCAGAAATGCAGTCTGTGTAACACTTAAAAGTTGAGATATTAATTTTCCGCAACATATGAACTCTGCTAGTGTACCGATTGCAATCCAATAGATTATTAATTTCAGTATTTTTAATTAACAACAGCAAAGTCGAAGAGAAATACAGATGAGATGCAATAATTGTTTGGTAAGCACTGAGCCTACCCCACGAGCTCACGTGTCTG